CTTATAAAAATACATGCAGCTGATAGCAGACACGATTATTATATTATGTGACTCGTTATTATATTTTGAGCCGTACTGTAGGTACATGGTGGAATTTTCTATTTCGGACGATTTAACAGTATTCGACTTCACTCACCTTCTTAACATTCTATACGTAACGAGGCGTAGCGATTTACAAACCACCATACAAATATGTGTGAGTATGTGTGAGGGGGGGGGGTTAAAACATAATCCATATTTTTATTTTTATTTTATTATACCTACTGAACACTGAAGTATATTATGTCAGTAGATATTAATGTAATATATAGCAGACATGATAATTTTTATTGTGTGAATCGTTTATAATATATAGGAGCGTAGTTTTGGTTGAATTTACTTTTCAACGTTTTCTTTTCAGACGAGACGATATTATAATATTCCCACAAATTGTTGATAAAATGAAAACGCTAAAAATTCGATAATATTTTAAACGTCTTAATAAAAGAGGGGACAAGAGAACATTTCATGTGAATTTCGAACAATTTCCAATTGTRCTGCAGTAATGATGACTGGTTTTTATTATTTCACTTAGGTGTACTAATACTACACGCAGCTCCTGTTTTATGTTATGATTTTATGTACCTAGGTATAATGATATCCACGTGACTAATTAAACATTCGGTTTTTAAAACGCAATTTATACGTCGCGCKTTTATACTGTGTTGCAGATAGAAATTGAGGGCGTAATTRCGACACCGCTCATTGTTTATTATATTGGCGTTTGGGAACCAGCAAAAAAAAATACTATAATGGAGAAACGTGCCAAAACATGAGATCCGATGAGAAGGAAATAAACGGAATTATTTAACCGTGGCCAAGTCATGTCAGACATAATATATTTTAYATACAAATGACTTGATATGTTTATAAAGATACGTTCCGTGACGATCATTGTCGTGCACTTAGGTATATATAATTATACGTCATGTATACATAGGGTATTAGGGTGACTATATCGTTGAACACGCTCACGTCATTTTTCRCTTTAATTACGAATTTATTTGACTCGATAAGTCCTAATTAATTTTTGGTATATTTTAAAGTGTAGGTACACTCAATAGCATTGTTATAATATTCATTTCCAAATACTATTAATTAATTGCTACTAACTGAGTAAGAAATGTGCAGTACTATCTAAAAATTATTTAAACAGCACTTTTTTTAGACATTTATTAAAAAATCTAAGTTAAAATATTAAATCTATGTATTGTTACGTTGGTGTCCTACGATATTTTAATTTTCACGTGAGATATGAGTATGTACAATTTTCAAATACTTTTAAATATTGTAAAAAAATGCACTGAAGCATCTGAATAACGAACAATATTTTGCGACTTGAAGAGTTCGGTATTAAGTTTTTCTGTATTATTACCTAAGTAATATCATGTATTATTAGCCTCATTGTAAATATCTTGAAAAAACTTGACGGGTATTTTTTATTAAATTGAAATTATTTATTTTGTGTTAATTTCAGAAATAATAATACTAATAAAAGGCTTTTTGAAAAGTTCATATACATCGCCACTACACGAGTTGGAATTTTTGTWCTCACATACAATGATTCCTGTAGCAGGTGATAAAAATGACATTTAAATATAATAATATATAATATTGATTTTTGCTACGGAGGTACTACAACAATTAGGTATGTCTGTGACTTTTCGGGAATGTACTATTATATAGGTAGGTATCTACAAATCCATTTTTATAGAATATCATATATTATAAACGGACATTTTAAGCGCTGTCGGTTATTAAAATATTATAGGTAATTACAACGTTCAAGGGCGTATCGTATAATATATTATTATATTCAATTGTGAGTAAGTACTTCCAAATTCAAAATAATTGCCAAAACGTTTTCGTAAATGGTATACCCATCATACATAATAAAATATACCATAAACACTATAAATATATTATCTTGTGTCAATACATCATAGTTATAATAATATGATATACGAGTATATATAGACGCATAATACGTCAAGCGTATAGCAGACGATTAAAACAGTCAGTATGAATAGGTGATGGTTACATAGGTTACCTATACATTTACGTACATAGTTTTGGAAAATTTAATAAGTTGTGTCAGACAACCATCATCGGCACCCGAGACGATTACGCCGCTTCCGGTGTACATAATAATATAATAAYACATGCGACAACCGATTATTATAAAATTTGCATAATTTTGGTTACAAAATAGCCAAAAAACAATTTGGAAACCGTTTAAGGACCGCCAGTACTCGTATGTACTCATATAAACTCCTAT